GGAGACCAGGCAGCACATGTCTTCCCCTCCGGAGCCAGGAAGCAATGCTCGATGTGAAGACCAAAGCTTCTCCAGGAGAACAAACAGCTCAGACAGCAACTCTAGGAGAATCCACAATGCCTCCTTAATGCCTCAATCCCTCTCAACACCTCCCTTCTTCTTCACCTATTTATCCTGGCAACTCTCCTCAGGTGGAGCATCTTCTCTCAATGCATGCTGATGTAATCCAGCTGGTGTTAAGTTGACCACCAGTTCTCAAACCATAACAGTAACAAACCAGAAATCTCAGGAGATGGGGTCGTGAAGCAAAGGCTCCTGAAGGAGGCCTGCTGGGCCCACTTATTTCACACATACAGAAACAGTTCCTTTCCATCCTAGACAGGTCACACCCTCCCCTGTGTCCCTTTCAACCAGGGCCATCATCAGGAGGGAGACACACGCTTTGGATTTTCTCTGTAGGCACTTCCTGCTCCCTGTGCTGTAAGCTCATATTCAGACTGTGTGGAGCTTGTTGCTATGGGCCTGGTGTATTCCTTGTACCTGGCCTGATGAGTATTGCCAGGTTGGCAAGGCACCACACCAAACAAAACCCAGCCACAATCACCAGGGATCTTCTGAAAAAGAAAGAGTGCTCTTAAGTTTCTCAGTGTTTCCAGAACACCGAGCTAGGTAATAGTTTCTGCCTCTCTGGGTTGTCATGAGAATTAAATGCAATAATGTTCAAAAGGGGCTTGGCAAAGCATCTGGCACACAATTAATGCACCATGAATCTTAACTACTGTTAGTGCCAGTTTGTATATATTCCCCCTAAATGACTCTTCTCCCACCTCCTGACAATACTGTTCACCATATATACCATCCAGGGGTATACTCATTTTAATGATTTCTTTTCCTTTTTTCCCTCCCTTCATTTTGATATTGTGATTGAACCTGGGGCCTCTAGCTGAGCTACATGCCCAGTTCTTTTTAAATGTTTTTTTCACTTTGAGACAGAGTCTCACTAAGTTGCCCAGGCTGGCATGAAACTTGGAATCTTCCTTTCTCAGCCCTCTTACAATCTGCCCCAAGTCTCTGGGTTTACAGGCATGAACCACTCACTATACCTGGCTAGTTTCTTTTCTTGAATGTCAATACCAGGCTTAGATTTCTGGAGCTAATATTTTACATGAGGAACAGATCAACTGGCTTGTTTACATATTGCACTGCCTTCTGTAGCTTTTTGCCCTTTGCTAAGGATTCTTAATGTCAGGAGGCTTCTCTTCCCACTCTAACGACTCCATCCTAATTTCTACAGGATTTCTTGCTGTCTTCTGCTGCATTCTCTTCTTTCCTTCTCCCTAATAAGCCCTTTCCCACCAGTCTCCCGGCCGACAGGCTCTTACTGCCTCACTGCACATTTGTCCCAGCCACACAGTGGCCTTGTCCTTGCCTAAGCTCTTAATGCCTTTGTTCAAGCATGGAGTCGGGGCTGGGAATTGATTGAGTCCTGTTCAGAATCCTTGGCCCTATTCAGAGACCCCGTGGGTTAGGTGAGATTTTATAGAGCAGACACAGTGACCATCGCTCACTCCTCAGGGTGACAGGCAATTTTTCAGCAAAGTGGGAGAGGGAATCAGGCTTACCTGTACACACACCTGCATGGGGTCTGGAAGTGTGTCCTGAGTAGCCTTCCTCGGGGGGAGGTCTTTCAAAGTGCTGTGTGATGGGAGACTGAGGTATCACAGATTTGGCTTTGATTCCTGGGTCTGTCACCCACTTCTCTATATAATCTTGAGTTAGCTGTTACCTTCTGTAATTCCACTTCCTATCTGTAAAGTGAGATGAATAGTTAATTGTCTCAACAGACCAGGAAAAAATTAAATCAAATGCTGTGGGTAAAGCTTAACGTAATGCCTAGAAACAGGTGCTCTGTAAGTGATAACAAAAAAAAACAAAAACAAAAAAAAAAAAAAACTGGTTTTTCTTTAAAAAGAAAAAAAAAACATGATGTTTAAATTTCATGCTATAAGGTATACATTAAATATTTCTATATGTCATAAGGTGAAAATATTTCATATCTCTCCTGAAACCTTCTGGCAGGTTATAGCAGTTCAGGCTATAGGAGGAGAGTGCCGTGCTCCACAGGGGAGCTTGAGGAGTGAGCTGGGACTGACCTAGGCAGCCTCTCACTGGCACCTTCTGGCCTCTGGGACTCCAGGTGGCCTTTCAGTTTTCATATTGGCAATTTGGAAACTCAGAGCCACATGCTGCGAAAACTCAGGATCTTCATGGGGCTTTTGCACAGAACTGTCATTAGCTTCATTTTATACTTTTACTTTTGTTTTTCTTATTTATTTTTCCCACTTTGAATCTTAACCTTGCTACTTGAAGCTGCCTTCAGTCCTTAATTCACTTGGGTAGGAGATGCCTGCGGCAGTTTGTGTTCCATCGCATAGCAGACCTATGTATGCAGGCCCCTTGGTTCCTGGCGACCTTGGACTGCATCCTTGGGCCACCTCCACCCCCACCATTCCTCTGGCAACCGTCTTTAGCTCCTGACACTGCTCCTTCCTTCTCCCCTCAGGATCACTTCCCTTTGTCTCTTGTGTGGGTTCTTGGGGTGGCTTGGACCTTGTCTATCTACCTGGCCCTGGTGAGTCCTGCTGCCCACCCGTGCCCCAGTCTGTCCAACCCCAGTCTCAGCCCTGACCTGGCCTCAGCCCTTCTGCCCTGTGGGCCACATCTGCTGCTGTCGCCCTGTGTTTCTACATTGTAGGAGGTTTTTCTGTCCTCTATGGAAGCTCTTGCTGTGGAAGATGATGGTCACTCTACTTTCTCCTCCTCTTGCTTTGTGCCTCAGTCCTCCACTAAGATTTCCCTGCTTCTTCTTAGCCCCTGTCAGGCAGGGCTGTCACTTGGCTGCCTGTTTCCCTGATGTGGGCTGTGTCATACTGCAGCGGTGCCTGGTGGCTATCCCTCCTTCCCAGGGCCTGCCCTAGTGCCCCCTGAAACTCAGCAAGTGTGTAATGAATGAATTAATGAGGGAGCAAGAGAATGTGGGAGCCTTCCCCATGGCTTGGCTCTGACCCTGCTATGGAGACACCTTCCTGTATTGCCACTTTTATGTTACACGTAGTATAAAATCAGAAGTCCAACCCGCTTTCCTCTGAAGACTTGGGCATAAGACAAATGATAGCACAGCTCTGGAGTTTTTAGGAGAAGAGACAGAAAAAATAACCAACATATGCCATATGGCAGTGAGTTTATAGCCCTTGTATTCCTGTTTTTTTCATGCTTTGGCAAATGACTGTCATTGGTCCAATCACAGTTGTTCCGCTCTGTAGTAAGAGGAGAGGAAGCTGACCCGTGGTGCATCGGTGCAGAGGCCTGGGAAGAAAGACTTTGTCCTCAGACCCTCACTGTGCACATAAAAGGAGGTGATTTGCCTGCAATGCATGGCCAGTTGTGTAATTTATTCATTCATCCTGTCATCTGGTCATTAGATTCAAAGGCGCTCTGTGTGCTCATCACTGGGATACCTGAGTAGACAGAGGTGTAGGCTCTGTCTCCCCAGAGCTCACACAGCCCAGCACATGGGACCTTCCACGGACCAGTCATTGAGTATAGAAGTCCATAAACACTAGACAAGTGTGTCCAGCCCCAAGGAAGATGAGGCAGACTGTTCAGGGAAGCTCCTGGAGCCAGCCAACCTCCTGTTAGGCTTCAGGAATGCATAGGAGTTCGCCAAGGCTGGGAGTAGTGAGGTGGGTTCTTAATTAAGCAGAGGTGAAAAAGTCAGGCATGAGCTGCAGAGCCCTGGGGGATGATGGAGGGGTCGTCACCAGAGCCTGTGAGGTGGGGCTTGGAGCTGCAGTAGGAGTACATTTGTACATCATAGGTTGCCCTGGTAATGGCATTGCGAGTTCATGCAGATGCCATGAGAAGTGGCTCTGATGGTCCATGTGGGAGATGGTGGGACAGCAGCAAGAGAGATGTTTGAGACCACTTTAAACAAATGAAGTGGACAAGGTGTGTTGATCAGTTCAAGAAGGCCAGGGCTAGGGAAGCTTGGGGTAACCCCAGGCTTGTGGCTGACAGCTCCAAGTCCAGGAGAAGGTGGGCCAGATCCTGTCCAGTCCACACAGGCCCAGAGCTGTATCTCTTGTCCGTGGCACTGTCCATGAGGTGGCTTGGTCTTTGTACCGTGACCCGCTCCAGCCCAGGTGATAGTTACCATGTTGCTCCTTTCCAAAGAGCTGCGGAATTTTATCTCATGTGAGTAGAAAGAGCCTCCTCTCAATTAAGAAGGATGGGAAAAGAAAGTTGTGATGCCTGCTGTGGTGAGAGCACTTTTTTAGCTTCTATTTACTCACGGAAGAAAAGCAGCAAAGCTTTGTGAGCAGGCACCTTTAGAAAGGCACAATGGCCCTGATTAGTATGGGGGTTTGAGCAGTGGTGGCTGCCAAGGTGGAGGCGGCCAGGGTGGAAGAGGAGGTGCTTGCCCAGCAGCAGAGGTCCAGAAACCCAGGAAGGTTTGATCACCAGAATAAGATCGCATGATTCATTTTAAATAAAAAGGAAAGATTCTAATCAGTCTATTTATAACTAAACTTAGATTGTGTTATTTGTGATCAAAGTCACGAAGTGGTGAGAAAAATACCAAATGGGACCTTAGTGTTTAATTCTTTAGAAAGTCCTGGTGACTGTCAGGCCATGTTATTCAGAAATCACTCTTTTTTAAAAAAAAATTTTTTTTGAGAATTATTTTTGCTAATTAAGTGTAGTGAGAACTTGGTTTAGTTGAGTGCCTGTGAGAAACTCCAGTAGAATGCATGTGAGGCACATGTAACCGCTTTAGAAGGACATCTGTTCCCAATTCCAAAACCTCAGTGAGCCTGTGATAAAATTCAGTTTCAGTAAACTTGGATTGAAAAGAATATTTAATATTTTCATTATCATAATGAATGTAGGTTTTCTTTATGTTGTTACGAAGATTCAGACTACGGTAATACTGGCAATACTTGCCACCATTAGAAACTGCAGCTCTTCATGCTGTAGCTGTTGCAGAAATCTGAAAAGGTCATTTATGCTCTTCACTACTTTGTGGATGTGGTAGCTGCTAGATCCACTGTGGCGAAAGCCAGCACCTTCATAACCGTGCGCATACAGTACCATATCACAAATTTGTATTTTTAAAAATTTCAATAACTGTATTTTGGTGTAGTTCAGTTTTCTTGTGAATTCTGTGTGCTATATATTTTAAAACATTCTGAGCAAGTTTATTGGCTTCACAGCTGGCTAAAGAAGTCCATAGCATATAGAAGAAGGTTAAGGTCCCTTGGGCAGGATCATGTAGTCCTGACATGGGACCTCCACCTGGTGGCAGCACACACCTTAAAGGTTAAATCTGTAATCAACAGTCAAAAAAACTTTAAATCATGTACTTGAGTATGATTTTCAAACATTTTTAGCACAACCCACCGTAAGAATTAGGCTTGCCACCATGTCAGTGCACCCATGCTTATTTTTCCCAATACACTCCTCAGCCTTACCACATGACACAGTGATATTCTTTATTTCATTCTAATATTCTCTTGATTCTCTTTCATTACAATGAAACAGTAGTTGCTGCACACTGAGATGTACTTTAGTGGGCTGCAGTACACTGTTCGACACCTTAGGAGTCCATAGTTCTACACATTTCAGACATAGTTCCTATATTTTAAGTAACTGCCAACAAATATGAATACGTTTTGTTTAAAATTAATTATTAGTGAGCTATAATTCATTTAAGTGAAAAGAACTGATACTAACATAATGTTCGGAGATAAACTCATTCTGACCATATCAGTAATTTGATGAGAAGCACTCCATTGTACAGATATAACACCTTTTGTGTATTCTTCTGTTGCTAGGCTGTAAAGCCATCATTGGCTTAGATTATTATGAAAAAACTTTCATGAATCTCTGCATGCATGTCTTTGTGTGCATATAAGCTTTTTTTTCCCCGTAGATTCGTGGGGTCCATTGTTGGTTCAGTCAGTAAACAAATATAGGTTTATCTGTAGAAAAATGACAAACCATTTGCCAAGTGGTTGAAACATTTCTCTTTTCTACCAGTGGGCTTTGTGAGCACCTGAGGTACTCAGGTTCCTCGCCCACACTCAGTGTTGCGTCTTTTTCATTTCACTAAGCTTGATAAATAGCTATATCTCTTGGTGGTTGTCACTTGCATTTGTCTGATGACTAATGATGTTAAACACATTTTTCATGTACTTATTGGCTGTTCAAAAAAGTGTCTTTAGCCAAGTTGTTTGTTTTTTCAGCATAAGGTATAGGGCTGTTTAACTCGAATACCAGTATTTTATGTCAGATGCATGTTTTTATTAATTTATTGTTCCAGTCCAAGCCATTCATATTCATTTTACTAGTGATATATTTTTAGATGTACACAAGTTTTTAACTTCTGCGGTGTTCATTTTAACAAGTTTTCTGGATCCTGTCTAACAAATCTTTTACTGGCCTAAATGTTAAAAAAAAGAAGAAAAAAAAAAGTTTTGACCAGGCATGATGCCACGTGCCTGTACACCAAGCACTCAAGAGACTGAGACAGGAGGATCGCCATGCATTCAAGCCCAGCCTGGACTACATAGCAAGACCCCGTCTCTAAAAGAAGGAAAGAATAAAAATTTAAAAAGAAGAAGGAAAGGAGGGAGAGAAGAAAGGGAGAGAGGGAGCAAGCAAACTAGCTTGGTTTTGGCTTTTATGTTAAATTCTTAATTCTTCTAAAATTAAGTTTCATATATTATAAGATGCCAGTGCCAAGTTTCATTTTCTTTCTATATTTATATCTGTTGATCCAACACTTTTTATTGAAATGACTTTACTTTCACCATTGAATTGAGCACAGAAGTTGGGGAAAAAACATCACCAAAGAGATATAAATTGACTTTTCGTGTAACCTGTAAACTGAGCCACTGTCTCTGACATTTCCCACCAGATTAATTTGTTCACACTTACACATCTCAGATATTATTTAGCAAGTGTGAGGATTGTACGGCCATAATTCTCCATGGGATCTGTCACTGTGCTGTCCAGTACAGAGCCATTAGCCCTATGTGACTGTTTAACACTGGGCTTTACAGTCATGGTTCCCCCATTCTGAGTGCCCTCCTGTGGCTCCTGACCATCCTGCTATTGAACAGGGTAAGGGTCCCCAAGTGCTGGATGGTGTGAGCCATGAGAACAAGAGCAGAGGCTGGCTGCTCACGGTTTGTAGTGACTTTAATGAAAAGGCTTATATGTGTTCATTCTTATTTGGAAGATTTGCCCCAGCTGTGCACAGAACCAGTCTTTTCTGAAACATACCTAGTGCTGACCTGTTTGACTTCTCTAGATATTCGGTAGTCTGGGCATCCCTTTTCCACGTTCAATTTCTTCTGTTTCTTCTTAGCATTGCCACTATAAGTGCTAAAGTTATAAAACAAAAGATTATGACCTGTAACCCTGTCCCAGATTGAGATTTCCATCCAGTAGTGAACTCTGCTTCCATTTCATCATGAGCAGCCACAAAGGGATTTGTGAGATGTTTCTCTCATTGTTTACTCAGCGTGAGCCACATGGACACTGACTCTGACATTGCTGTCTTTCAGTGCAGGGATTTTGCTGTCCTGGTGGATCTTCATGTATCACCACAAGGGTCAAAGAAAGATACCAGCTGGTTCTCTGAACAGAAGAAAGAGGTACAGTGAAGCTTTTTACTATTTAAATGCAAATAGTTGCAGCTCCTAGAAGTATTAGCTCTTTCCAGTTTTCATTTTCTTTACTGGGAAAAAGGTTTGACTTGTAGTTAACCCTTGAAAACTATTTGTTGTATTTCCAGTGACAAACACACATATAGCCACTTGATTTCCTTCAGAAACTGATACATCCATGTGCCTCATACATACTCTTTGATCAGCTGATTGATCTTGGTGCTGGGGATGGAACCCAGGGCCTTCCACATGCCAGGTGCTTTACCACTGAGCTATGTCCTCACCCCCGACTCTGTTGTTTCAGCTCAAAACTCCTCACTCCTTTGTTTTTAAGAAGGGGTCTGTATATTAAAAAGGAAGAAGTTAAACTATTCCAGCAAGCAAGAATTGTGACATGATTTGTTGGGAAGGGTGACTCGGTATCTAAAGTAGGCATAAAGGTTAACCTGTCTGTCTTAAATCTGCTCTTTTTATAGTCTGCCATCCCACATAGTCATGAGTAAGAGACAGGTGAGGAGATAGCTGCCTGTTCTCTCTTTCATATTGGTCAGCCGGTAAGATAGATAGTTGGGTATGTATATAAATTTGACCCTTGAACAAGATAGGTTTGGGTTGCACGGATCCATTTATACACAGAATCTATTTTTGGAGATTTGTAATACTTTGAAAACTCATAAATCTTACATCCTAGAAACACTGGAAGAATTAAAAAGTGGGACATGTCAGAAGTGCATAAAATATATAAAGATATTAGTCTATTTTATCATTTCCTACTGTAAAATATATACAGATCTTTTGAAAAAGTTAGTTTGTCCTAAGTTATGTACACAAACACAGTGTGCATGGCACAATATGTACTTGCGATAGATATGAACAAATGTAAAGATGCAATTTTGAATTATAACTGCGTGAGATTACCTGTAGAATATACAGTAGTATGTAATGATTTTATAAATCAACATTACTACTGCGGTAAACTTGGTGTTGCAAATATCTGAGTAAACTGCCATGTGAAAGTCATCTTCACGTGAGCAGTTTCTTTCCAGTGAATTGCACAACAATATAGAATGTTCTCAGCTGGATGTGGTATCACGTGCCTATAGTGCCACCTGTTGTATAGGCAGAGGCAGGAGGATCACAGGTTTAAGGCCATCCTGGGCAACTTAGCATGACCAAAATGAATTTTTAAAAGGGTTGTGGCTATTGTTCAGTGATTGGAGTTGTTGTCATGTGTGAGTCCCTGGATTGAATCTCTAGGACCTACCCCCATGATCTCTTGCAGTTCTGTAGTATTTTTCACTATATATAGTACATATATGAAATATGTGCTAATTGACTGTCATTGATAAAACTTCCAGTGATTTGTAGGCTGTTAGTAGTTAAGTTTCAGAGGTGTCAAAAATTATACTAGGATTTCTGAGTACACAGGGGGGCAGGTCCCCCTTTACTCCTGTGTTGTTCAGGGGTCAACTATATGATCTTTGACCTTGCTGAGCTTCAGAGCTTCACTTTCTTACCCGCAAATGCAGGGGTTTGGCCAGGTACTACCCGTGTCCCTTCTTGGTCCTAAGTTTCTGTGTTTTCACTGCTCTGCTTGCGGCATAGCAAGTATATTTGATTGTCAAGCACTTTGCTTCCCTTTCCAGATCTCTGCTTGCCAAAGGATGAGGGGATATGGCTTTTATATAACTTTCAGAATACTGTTGTGCTTCATTCCCTCCAAGAGAGTCATTTGTGCAGTTACTTTTTAGAGCAAGAAATAAAATTGTTTTATTAAAAGGTAATTTCATATGGAAAAGCTAGTGATAGTAGCCAAAAAAATATTTCCTGTGATAACAGTTTTCAGTCAACTTTTTGAGTTCACTATAACCTCTCCACCCTTCTCCCCTCAAAATTACAGAATAATATGTTTTTAGTTGAAAGGGGATATCATCAAGACTTTGCTGTCATTAGTTTGTGAAGGAGTCCTGATGACCTGAAGCTGGGAAAAGAAGGGACAAGGTTCCGTGTCATAGAATTTATCATTGTGGTAATGTACTGTAGATTCTGCTCTGCTGGTCTTAGTATTTTGCAGGCCAACATCTCCTACTGCTCCTCATCTTCATAGAATTCCAAGCATTTGCTCACTGACACATCTGTGTGATTCAAATCAGTTCATTCATTTCACCAGGGTGACTAATAGTTCACCCAGGGGAAATCTTACCAAAAAACTTCAGATGCAATTTACTTTAAAAGCATTCCAGAATCCATTATTCCAGGCTCAGATCTTCCTGCATTCTCCCTTTGCTTTACTGTGTTGTCTTTAGACCCATTGTGTTGACATTTAGCTAGATTTCCCCAGGAGTCGGTCGATGTAGCTTGTTTTAGGTACACAGGTACATGAATCACCTCCTAGGCAAAGCATGAGGCTGAAGTCTTTTAGCATGCCATATGCAACCACATTGCTCCACCTAATACCCACTTAGGGCATTGCTCCAATGAGAACGCACTTCAGGGCATCTAGACGTGACTTACTACGGATATATCATGCACGACCAGACCTGCAGCGGCAGCTGCAAGAACGCAGCTTTTGCCAGCTAGCTCAGCTTTCCTCTCAAAGTAGGTGGTTTGCTGCCTTAACTTTAAGTGGTTCCTTTAAAATGTATGTTCACTGACACTGAAATTACCCTGGGATAATTTGTGCGTGTGTTTAAGAAAGGAGAAGAGCCAGTTGAAGACAGGTTATGACTTTAGCCTATGTTCAGTGTCTCAACACTTTTGAGTGTGCCTCATTTTTATCTTTAGATCATCTCATGATTGGGATTCCATGAGCAGCCAGTTTGATTGCATTTTAACAGTCACTTTATATAGTGAAAGCCTAAGAATATCCTGTTCCTCATAGAAAAAGGAGCTAATTACATGTATTAAACATATGTTTATTTTGAGTGCAGCACAAGTAGTCTTTGTACCCAAACAGTCAAATTCAAACTGTTCCACTTGGATTCTCTAGGAAGCAAGTATGAGCCCGTTAGGCTTATGAGATGCCGTCTCTGTCTCTTTCTCGATCTTCTCAGCTGCCCCTCCTGGCACCTTGCAGGTGGTTCTCCTTCTCATATCTGTCCTGGCTCTGAAGAGACTGCTGCACCAAGTGTGGCATGATCAGTTACTGGGTGCCTTGGGCACCTTGCACCCCACCTGCTTTTTATTTGTGACACCTACCCCACAGAAGGAGAGCTTCATAACTATAGGGGGAAGCCTTCTGCTATAAGCCTGTGCCCTATTTTTGTCATACTATTTTTAGTTCAAGCCTTATAGGGTATTTATGGTCAAATTTTAGCAATCCTTGTTTCTATATATGTCTTTCACATACTTTCTAGCTCACTCATACCCGAGTCCTGCATGTGAAGCAAAATTCTTTAATTGCTAAAACAACAGTACTAGTCAAGGCTGCCTTTCTGTTGTGTGAACAATGCCAAAACACTCAGCTGTAAACAGAATCTGTATTCTACAAAGCCCTGACTGCATCTTTGGACTGCAAAATGAAAATCAGGAAAGCAGAGTCTAGTGTTTGTATTTTACCAAGAAATTTCTTGTGAGTTAAATCAAGGATTTCATATACTGTGTGAGGGATACAGGTATTTACAATAAAGGAGGTTTTGCTGTGGTTGCTTTTCAGAGCAGCTTAAAACTTTGTTCATGTTTTAATGTATGAAGAGTCTTAAGAGATCAACCTGAGATGACATTGCAAGAAACCAGCAAAACAGGTTTGAAGTGACCCGTGCAGCTCTAAGCCTGCTGCAGCCTTTCCAAATTGGATTTATCAGTCCTTGGGTATCAGTTTTGTATGTAGTGTCCCCTGCTTCCTACAGCAGATTGTGTTTTCCTGGCAGTGCAGGAAACACCACACAGTATATCTTTCCAATGTGTGGTTGGGCTTTTGAGGTTTTTGTTTATCTTCTTATAAATATCACAAATATGTGAGCCAATTGGCATGTCTAGTTAACGATACAGCATGCTAAAATTAAATAAAAACCTGTTTCTATTACCTAATAAATACTAATCTACTTAAGAGTAATGAGAGAAGTTGAATTATTTTCATCATTAACAGACATATAACACAAGCTCAACAAAAGCCAGTGGGCATACACAGTCATCAGCAAGAGTGGGGAAAAATCAGATTGCCTGTTTCCAGTTCTCTGTTTCACTGATTGCTCAATTTTCTTCATCCTTCAGTAGATGTGAAAACCTGAGGCCAGAAACTGATGAATGATGGTGTATACATTCAAAAATTTTTAAACCAAATTTGAAAATTGGGAAATTTTTACATAAACATCACTGTTGCTGACTGCTCTTGAACAGATTAAAAGATCTGGCAACACCAGGCCTCTAAACAGAAGGTTGCTGCACAGCCATGGGGCTTGCCCCTGCGGTCTGGGTCCCTGTTCCGCGCCGTCTGCGCCCCACAGGATGAGAACTTGTTCTTCCTCCTGGCTCCTGCTCTCGGCAGTGCCCTGCCTGGCCACCAGGGGTGTTCCCTGGGCCTTGCTCCCAGCTCCTGGCTCCCTTCTGCTTGTCTCTTTATTCACAATGTAACCACCGTTTGATATTTATAGAAAATGTTCTTTGGTAATTTTTTTTTCTTTTTTTTTTATGGGTACCGGGGATCGAACTCACGACTGCCTGCTTGCAAGGCAGGCACTTATGCCGCTGAGCTAAATCCCCAGCCCCAGAAAATGTTCTTTACCTCACCTATTTTATGGCCATATCATCCAGAGTTTTATAGTGAATTAAGCTTTCTTATTTTTGGCATTGTGAAAAACATGACATGAATTTCCAAGCTCATGCAGTGAAATAACATCATGGTTTTGAACAAACTTCTGTAGCATATTTAAATTTGGGTGTTTTATTTATGTAACATTCCTTTCAGCATTCATAGTTAAATTAAAAAGCAAATGAAATGTCTAGCATTGACTTTTTAATGTTTAAGATGTTAACTGTTTTGCATTGCATTAAATTAGAAAGTTATACCCAATTTTTTATTTACTTTAGGAAATCTGTTTGCTATTAAAAGAAACCATTGACTCAAGAGTTAAGGAGTACTTGGAAGTCCGTAAACAGCACAAGCCATCAAATACAGAATTCACAAGATCCAGTCCCTTGTCCTTAAAAGGTAAGCACAAAGTACTTTGATTTTGGACAAAGAAAATAGAATTTTTGCTTTGTGGAGATGGCAGTTATATTTGACTCTGTCATGTTAGTGTAGTGATACATTTAAAAAGTATGTTGTAATGAAGATACTTTGTTTGGGTAAAGAAAATTAACCAAAAAGCGCTGAAGGGCTTTTAATGGTAGGCAAAATATATAAAAATAGCAAATAAAACATTCCTAAGGAAACTGTAAATTTTTTAAAGGTTTTTTTTTTGACAAATAGTCTTATAAATTGTTTTACATTAATACTGACTTAAATTGACTTAGGCTTTTATACTTTTAAAAAATGTTTTCAAATATGCCATCCTATTTCAAAGGTTCTCAAATGGGCAGTTTTATCCCCAGGGGATACTTGGTAATGTCTACAGACAGTTTTGGTTGTCATTGCTGGCAAGGGGTGGGGTGCTAGTGACATGTAGTGTGTAGGGGCCAGGGATGACACTATGTACCTACAGCCTTTCACCCCCAAACAAAGAATTACCAACCCCCAAACCTGAAGTGTACCAAGGTTGAGGTATCCATTCTGTTTTCTAATAACACAGTGGCATGATAGTATCACTGAGTTCTGAGTGAAGAAGTGAGACTCTGCAAGATTAAGTGGCCTTCCAAGTAAAAGATCATCTCGTTGAAGACAAAGACTGTCACTTATTTAGGATCACCTCCTCTCATTCTCTCTCTGCCCCCAGCACTTAACCAGTGCCTGATACTCATGTGTCATTTCAATGTTACTTATATTGAAAGAGTGGTGGAGAGAACCCAGACCACAGTTCTGACTTCCACTTCTGCCTCAGTGTTCTTCCTAGTCAGTGTTGTGTTTTTAATGTTTTTGGGGTCAGGATTCATAGCACTCTGAAATACAGTGACTGGACTGTTTTGAAATACAACTTGTGTTAATTCTCAGAGAACAGTGACTAGACCGCTCTGTGCCCTCATTATGCTTTTAATGTAACCCTTCTCTACTGTGTCAGGAATCCTTTGAAGGCTTCCTCGATCCGAAGTAATCCTGGTGTAGATGGTGTGGAGGTGGGCAAATGAGTGTTATCCAAGCTGAATGGACTATTCAGTCCGAGCAGCACTGTGTCAGTGGTGCTTTCCTATTTGTCACTCAGTAGTACTATAAATCTTGAGGAAAATAGTAACAGTTTGCATCCAGTGTACCCCCCATTGGATCTGACTGGCGTCGCTTTCTGACTGGTGCCAAAGCAAAGGATCAGCGCAACTTTCCAAGGCCTCCATCTCTGGGGTGATTCATTCTGTTGCTGGCTTGGTCAGTATCGATTCCCAGCCAGCCCTTCCCTAGCCTCCCTTGACTGCCGCATGCTTATGCTTATGCTTATGCTTCCAGCCTGCCTCCTAGTGTAGGGACCGGAGTTCCCACCTCATGGTGACAAGCAAAGCGTTTCTTAAGCTTTTTCTGGGAATATATTTTTTTTTAAATGGAACAGTGTTCTGCCTATACAATTTTGTAGACTTTTTCCCACCTAATATACAGTAAAAGTCTTTCACATCACACACATGACAATTTTTAAAACCTTTTTGTTGTGGTAAAATATATATAACCTATAATTTATCATTTTAACCATTCTCAATTGTGTATGTTAGCATAAAATACACTTACATTTTATTTTATTTTATTTTTGTCTTTTTGAGACAAGGTCTCACTACACAGTTCAGGCTGGCCTTGAACTCCCTTTATAGACCAGCCTGGCCTGGAACTCAAAGCAATCCTCCTGCCTCAGCCTCCTAAATGCTGGGATTACAGGCATGCGTGGCTATGCCCAGCCCTCTTGCATTGTTGTGTAACCATCACTGTTACTACCTATCTCTAGAACTTTTTTAGTCATCCTAAGCTGAATCATTGTACCCATTAGATAGTAATTCCCCATTTTCCCTTTCCCAGACTCTGGTAGCAACCATTCTATTTTATGGCTCTGTGAGTTTGAATTTTGAATTTTTTAGGTACCTCACATAATTATAATTACACAATATTTGTCCTTTCTTATCTGGCTCATTTCCTTGTAGCATAATGTTTTCAAAGTTCCTGATGTAGTGTTTATCAGAATTCCGTTTCTTTTAAGGCCAAATGATCGCACCTGGTAATATTCCAGTGAGTACTGTACCATATTTCTTATTCAGCCATCTCTCAGTGAGCATTTAGGTTTCCACTTTGGCCATTGTGAATAAAGCTGCTATAAACATTAGAGGGTAAATAATCCATTGAAGTCTCTGCTTTCAATTCTTTAGGCTATGGACCTATAAGTAGAAATGCTAATTTTTTTTTTATCGGTACCGGGGATCAAACTCACGACCACCTGCTCGCAAGGCAGGTGCTTATGCCACAGAGCTAAATCCCCAGCCTGAAATGCTAAATTATTGATATACTGCATATTGTTTCCCATAGTGATTGTATCATTTTAATTCCCTCCAGCGGTATATGAAGGTATTGTTTCTTATACATCCTTGCCAGTAACTTCTTTTCTGTTATTTTGATGGTAGCCATTCTTATATATGTGAGGCAGTGTCTCATGGTGGTTCTGATTCATATTTCCCTAGTGAGTTGTGATGTTGACATCTTGTCCTGAGCTTATCAACCATTAGCATATCTCCCTTGGAGAAATGTCTATTTATGGTCTTTGTTCATTTTTTAATTAGATTGTTTCATATGGTTGCGAGATATAAAAGTTCTTTATATATTCTGAATATTCCTTATTGAATTTATGATTGGCAAATATTTTCTTCCATTCTGTGGTTTTTATTTTCATTTTCTTACAATGGACTGACACAAAAAAGCTGTTAACTAAGGTACTGCAACCATGTTGTCTATTTCTTCTGTTGCCTTGCTAACTACAGCATGTCTAAGAAATCATTGCTAAATCCAGTGCCATCAATTTTTCTTTATTTTTCTTTCAAAAGTAGAAAAAAATTCTACAGAATTGGCTTTTATACTCAGTATTGCATCTGTTTTGAGTTAATTTTGGTATGTGATTGAAGGTAAAAGCCCAGCTTCATTCTTTTGCTGATGGTTTCTCAGTTTTGTTAACTTTGCTTGTTGAAAAGACTGTCCTTTCTTCAAGGAGCAGTCTTAGAATTCTCGCTGGAGATCATTAGACATGTACGATAGTTTAGTCCTGAGTTTTCTGCTCTTTCCCAGTGGTCTGTGTATCTGTCCATATGCACTGTGAACCTGGCTATTTAATCAGTTTCGAACCCAGCAAGTGTGAATCTTCTAATTTTGTCGTTCCTTTTCAAGACTGTCTTGACTATTCCAGGTGTGTATAGCCATTTTAATACATGCACAGTATTCAATTACTCTTAATTTATTGGTGGGATATATTTAGATTATGTCTGTTACTTTTACTGTATTAAATAGTGAAATGAACATACTAATAATATACATATTCATCTGAAATACATTTCTAATTGAATGTTCATATCTTTGTTGATTTGTGAGGGCTCCTTAATTACATTACTTTTGTGCCATCTAAGTTGCCAATGACTCTTCACTGTCATTTGCCTCTGAGTTTATTTAACTGGATAACTGCAAACAAGGAAAAGCTCTGTTTGCCTCATGCAGCCTCCAGGGACACTAGTGGGATGGATGCTGGGTTTCCATTTGAGACAGACGTGAGTCGATAAAAAGGCAAATAAAATTACCCTGTGTTGTCGAGTCTTTAGAAAAAAGGCTGGACTACTTATATGCTGTTTTTAAAGTAAAGTTTGTGTGAAGCACCATCTTCCCTCTCCTTCCTCCTCTGACAACAGTTCATCTTTAGCTGGGCAAGTCTTCAAGGTTCACATCTTGACTGGCCAGTCCCTCTCCTGCCTCTACTGGACAACTGCAGCAGGTACTTGGCTGGCTCCTTTCTGTGGCAGTCAGGGCACCATCTCCTGTGAACACTTCAGCTAGGTGATCCCTTAAAATGACACGTCAGTCTTGAGCAGCTCCACCTAGAACCTTTCAGGACTCCCCCCGGCTCTTGGGATGAGGACTGCACCCCTGGGGAGCTGCCTCTCCAGCCATGTCTTAAACATTTTCCATCTCTCTTGCTCTTGCTGCATCTCACTTGATTCCTTTCTTTCAGATCTCTGTCCCTGTGCTTCTCCCAGGACCCTTACCTATACTGGAGCCTCATCTACCCCTGTGGCATCCCCCCATGTCCGATCAAAGTCCATCCCGCAGGGAAGTGAGACCTTCCACAGGATCACTGGCAGGCTGGACTTTCTTTCACACCACTGAATTAACATCTCCTTCTCCACAAATGTGTAAGCCCCTCAAAGACAGCTTCTGCTCCTTTCATTACTCTGTTGTTCTTCTGGTGTGGCGCAGTTTGTGACTTGCAGTAGGCACTTAAATGGTGAGCCCTGGGAATGTTTATCTGTCCTTCTTCTGGTAAAGTTGAGAATTGCTGTTATTTATCCTGTCATATTTCCTAAAAATCTATATCCTTGTTACCTGTGTGCCTTTACTTTAAGTTTATCCATTGGCAAACTCTGTTTAACTCTTAAGACTCAACATAAAAATATTACTTCTCCACAGTCTTTAGTCTTTCTCAGTTTTCCAGCTTCTCTGCTAATAAATTACTTGACACTTTACACTTTTACAACTTCTGTCATGTTGTATTATAATTGTGTTGTAGTTTGTTGACTTGTCTTTCCAGCTCCTCTGGAAGAAAGACTGAATCTTTGTCACCTTTTAAACTCTCTCTGTTCTCCAGATTACCTTGCTGCTTAACTCAGGAGCACAGACAAATAACTCTTCTCCTGGGTTTAAGCGCAGAACTGTCAGTTTCTGAAAGTACAAGCATCATTCACGCAGCTCTACCACAAGAGTCTACTTCACAGACCACTGAGGTTTGGGGCATTCTAGGCCGTGCAGACTTCAACACCCATGGGGCTACACAGTAGCTGTGCCGCTGTTACATTGTTTGTGTAAACAGCATCCCTGTGGAAACTGAATACATG